AAAGGCTTTCATGTTTAGTTAAAGTATGAAGTCTTGATGCCTCGTCTTGGGCAGAAGCAGTCTACCTTGGTGTCAGCTACTTCTCTTCCTGGCCAATTTGATTTAGGGATCTTCAGCACCTGTACAGGACCAGCCTTTTTCAACTGTGAGATGTGTACACAAGGCTCAAACCTTCTGGTTTTGCAGCAGTGTCTGGTCAGGAGCACTTGATAAGGTTCCTTTCAATAGGGCTTGAAGTCTTGAAGGCTGTCTTCCTCTGATGACATTTCTAAAATACCCAGTCACCATGCTCTGTAGAACAAAGTCTTGAGCGTAAGACATTAGAGACTTAACAGTAGCTGGCCACACTAGCAAAGACAACAAGGGATTGGCGGAAGGTTGTATACTGATAGAATTCCAAGGAGTTGGCAAGATTTCATTACTGTTCATATGATTTGTCCAGTGAAGTGAGAGCCTCCATCACTGGAGACTGTGGAAGGTGCATCCCAGGTGGGAAATACATTCTCTAGCAGGTTTTTTGTTTTTTTTTTTTTCCACCAAAAGAACATCAGCCTTGCTGCAGGGGAAAGCTTCAACCCATCCAGAAAAACAAACAAACAATAACAAGAACATCTCAGTAACACACACTAAGTGACAGTTGAAGTCCAGCTGCAAGGTGTTCAAATGGTCTAGAGGAAAGAGGTCTAAGGCTTCTGGGAACAAAAATAGCTTTTCCAGAATTATAGAATGCAGGATTCCAACAACACAGATCAAGAACTGAGCTTAGATCAAGAGTCAGATGCCCAACTGACTGAGCCACTCAGGCACCCCAATCCTTAGCTCTTTTTGAATAAAGATTAATTTTTCTGAGCAGTCAAAATGTGATAAAGTATCACTGAATAGTGACAAAACATGAAATGTATATGAGAAAGTTATTTCAGGAGTTTGAAAAATAAATAGTAGCAGGTAGAAGTGGAAATAAGAGCAGACCTCATGTACCACTGGAGTCTCTCAGTATCACCCCCCCATCATTCAGAAAGTGGGCACCAGGGTGCAGACAGAAAGTACTGTGGTACATCCAGACAATGGAATATAATTCACCATTAAAACCAAATGAGCTACCAAGCCATGAAAAGTCATGGAGCAACTTTATGTGCATATTACTAAGCAAAATGAACCAATTTGAAAAATCTGTACAATATTCTAAAAAAGACAAAACTTTGGAGACAGTAAAAAGATCAGTAGCTGCCAGGGATTAGGAGGGAGAGAGGGATGAATAAGCAGAACACAGAGGATTTTTAGGGTAGTCAAATTATTCTGTATGTTACCAGTATGGTGGATACATGACATTATACATCTTTCAAAATCCATAAAGGAACACTGAACCCTAATGGAAACTATGGACTTTGGTGGATAGTAATGTCAAACAGGTACCTCAATTGTAACAAATGTACCACTCTTGTGGGGGATGTTGATAGTGGGAAAAGTCAGGGCAGCGGATGGGACCCTTCTGTACTTACTGCTCATATCTGCTGTGAACCTAAAACTTCCCTAAAAAATAAAGTCTATCTAAGAAAAAAGAACTCACTGGATGGACTCAGTAGCAGAATGGAGGGAAAAAGACAGAGGGAAGAGTTAGTGAACCTGAATATAAGTCAATAGAAATAATCCAACCTCAAACAGAAATAAAAAATATTTTTAAAAATGAAAAGAGGAGGGGCGCCTGGGTGGCTCGGCTGGTTAAGTGTCTGACTCTTGGTTTCAGCTCAGGTGATGATCTCAGGGTCATGAGATGGAGCCCCATGTCGGGCACCATGCTGGGGGTGGAGCCTGCCTAAAATTCTCTCTCTCTCTTTCTCTCTTCCTCTGCCCCCCCAAATAAATAAATAAATCTTTAAAAAAAATGAGGGGCGCCTGGGTGGCTCAGTCATTAAGCGTCTGCCTTCAGCTCAGATTATGATCCCAGGGTCCTGGGATCGAGCCCCACATCGGGCTCCCTGCTCATGGGAAGCCTGCTTCTCCCTCTCCCACTCCCCCTGCTTATGTTCCCTCTCTCGCTGTGTCTCTCTCTGTCAAATAAATAAATAAAATCTTTAAAAAAAAAGTAAAAAAAATTTAAAAAAATGAAAAGAGGAAAGTAGCAGAGTAGGGAACTCCAGGGTTCTGTCTTTTTATTAAAAAAAAAAAAAAACAACTAATGAGCTGTCAAAAGTGTCAGCCTCATTTTTTGCAGAACTTTGGAGTCTAGTCAAGAACTTAAAACAACCAGGGGTAAGCTTAGTGAAGAAAGAAGCTGCCACTTTGCAGAAAGAGAGAGGGCTATGGTGGTTCAAACGGCCCACTGAACATCCCCCACAGCCCTGATCCATGGCAGCCATGAGGACTAAGCCAGCACTCCTGGTACAGGATGCTAGTGGCACAGGAAGCGATGGAGAAGTTACTCTCAAAGAATTGTCATTGTGAGTCCCAGCCTGTCTGGTGGCTCCGTGAGGGAATATGTAAGTGTTTGCTTTTATTTTGCCTGACTCGAAGCACTCCTAGGACAAAGGTAGCTGCCCAGGAGGCTTTTGTTGTGTGCATTTAAAGACAGAAATTTTAGGGGCACCTGGCTGGCTCAGTCAGTGGAGTGGGCAGATCTTGACCTTGGGATCATGAGTTCAAGCCCCACGTTGGGTATAGAGATGACTTAAATAAATAAACTTAAAGAAAAAGAAAGAAATTTTGGCTCTGGCAGCCTGGGGTTAGTTGGGACAATCAACAGACTGAAAAGCCTGGGAAAGAAGAAATTGGGAAAGGAAATATGTGATGGTGGGGGGTGGGGGCACTTTAATCAAGAAGGCCACACATACTATCAGGGCTAGGCATGTGGTCAAAAAGGCCTGAGAAGACCCTCAGCTTTTATCTCTGACTGACCTTCAGGCTCCATGCAAGCTGGAAGCAAAGACTAAGGCAGCATTGTAAACAATGTGGATAAGCATTAAACTGGTGCCCCGAAGAAGCCAATCTGCAAAGACTAAGAGAATTTTTTTTTTTTTTTGCTCCAAGCATTGAAGGAAACTGTCAAAACACCAAGTGACCATGACTGCTAAGTTAGCTGAACATAGCTTTCACAGACTTGCCAAAAATAGTTTAGAGAAGTCAGTAAAAAAGGAAATAATAACAACCCACAAACAAGCAGCAGCAATAAACCCCGAGGAGGTGGGAATATCTGATTTCCAGAACTGTCACACTGTAATATTCAAAATCTCCAGTTTTCAACCAAAAAATTACAAAGCATGCAAAGGAATAAGAAAATGTGGCTCATTCACAGGGAAAAAAAGGAAATTACAAGTGTCCATGAGGACTCTGGGGCATTGGACTTACTAGACAAAGACATGAAATCGACTCCCTTAAATATGCTCAAAGAGCTAAAGGAAGTCACAGCGAAAGAACTAAAGGAACCAGGAAAACACCATCTCACCAGATACAGAACATCAGTAAAGAGACAGAAACTGTAAAAATGAACGAAACAGAAATCCTGGAGATTAAAAGTACAATAATTGAAATGAAAATTAACTGGGGGGTTTCAACTGTAGATTCGAGCCCACGGAAGAATTAGGGAACTTGAAGATAGATCCATTGAGATCATCCAGTTTAAGAAGAAAAAAGAGAAAAGAATGAAGAAGTAAATAAACCAAACTTAAGACACCTATGTGACACTGTCAAGTACCAACATATACATAACAGGAGTCCCAGAGGAAGAAACTAAAAGAGTGTTTGAAGAAATAATGCCCCCCAAACCTCCCAAATTAAATGAAAATTATGAATCCAAATATCCAATAAGTTCATTGAGCTAAACATCAAAAAATTCAATAATAATAAAAATGGAGAAACATATACTAGCCAACATCTTAGCACACAAAGTGTACAATAAGTATTTGTTGGATTGATTTACAAACAATGTTGAAGACTACTATTGCCCATGTTCCACGCTGCCCAAACCTACTTTAAATCATTGTATCTACTGGCTGATCATGTGTATGTAAACAAGAATACAGTCCCAGAGAGACGGCAAGTTAATTATAGGCAAACTTCCGCAAACTTTCACCAACCTGAACACAGTTTTCTTTGAGATCACCAGGTCCAAAGCTCACATTTTATACACAGCACAATCCTTTGGAGGAATATTATAATCAACATTTGTTAGTTGTTTCTCTACCCACTACTTCTTTCTTTTTCCTTAACAACCTCCAGATTCTGCCCAGATGAGATTAACCCCAACTCTAAATTTAGACATGGCTTCTAGTTGTCTGCAGGTGATCAATCTTTTGTTTCTGCTTTGACCATCATGACTGGCTTAGTGATGCATCCATGAAGCAAGAACGGCAGTGGAGACCAAAAAGACCATTTCTAGGTTGCTGTGTGAGCAGTGGAGTAAATAAAAATCTCTTTTTTGTTGAGTTTGTATCTGGAACCATGTCACTCCAAGGACTGGTCACCATCCTTTAACCATAAGGGTCAAGCCAGTCTGCTGAGAGAGTGAGGAGGCAGACACATGTACTGGAAGGTAAGAAACTGGTTCCAGGCCACATCACTTGTTCCTCTGACCCAGTATTTTCCAAACTTAACAAGGTAATAAAATCCCAGACCTCTTCTCAGTTCTGCTGCATCAGAATCCCCAAGCAAGTCCTGGGAAACTGTTGTATTCTCACCTGAAGCTAGCCCTTATGTCGAAGCTTTCAGAAGTATGAACCAATAAATGTCCTTTATAATTCAAGAGAATTTGAGATCAGCCAGTTACTTGCCAATGAAAGCATCCTAACTGGTAGAAGCCAGCTAGATTTGTTTCTTTTTGGGTTTTTCCTCTTTTCTTTATAGAGAACTAAGCAACAGCTCTCAATGGGTTATGTTATTTACAGGCCTCTGATAAAGTTCAAAGGACAAGCTCAGGCTTTTCAAAACAACCTGGAAAAAAACAGGTTGAGAAATACATCTGCTAATCTCTTCCCTCCCACTGCTCCTCCCCTGGCTCTCGTTTCTTTGATTAACGGGGCCCTAGAAGATCTTTTCAAAAAGGCTTCTCTAGAGGCATCCAGAATCACTCCTAAAAACTGAAAACCCAGACTCTCTCCAGGATGTACCTCAGCACTACAAACCACCGCATTCCTCTAAGTGATGGAAACAGCATTCCTATCATCGGTCTTGGGACCTACTCAGAACCTAAACTGGTAAATTTCTCTCTCTCTTTCTCTTTCATTTTAATGTTTTTGAAACTTTCCTAGAGCATAATCTTTCATTCATTTTGAGTGGATTTCACTGACTTACTTTTTATACTAATGAAAGTAATCTCCAAGGAGTACTATTTGGCATCCTGAGTACTGAGCCAGAGGTTTAAACTATATCAGTTTATAATTGAAAATGATCTTGGATTAGAAGATGGGACCTTTCTTCTTCCTTTCCTGAAATTTAGCTGAATGCAGATTATTAGAATGAACTGAGTTTACTACTTGTGGGTTTTTAAACTTATATTTGAGAATTTCCAATTCAGTCTAACAAACATTTCATAAAAACCGCCCAGGTATGAAGCACTCGACTATAGAAGCTTAAATATGAAAAGAACAGTGTCTGTACTGTCTAGGGATTAAAAATCAAATAGAGGAAACAGACTCTTTAATAGCTAATCGTAGAACAATGAAGTTAAGAGTAAATGCTATCCTAGAACTATAAACCATCTCTCTGAAAACACAGACAAGGGAATAATTAAATTTGACCTTCAAGACTGAGTGGGTTTCCATTTAAACACAGTTTCTACTTATAAGAAAAATATCTTTCTGCTTTCCTCATTGTAATTCAAATTTAATGCTGATTACCAGAATAAACAGTGGTATGTGTAGAAATGCTAGCAGATTTGTGTGATTGCATAGGAATGACCTTTGGAAAGCTAACTGTGAGTTAGAAGGCAGAGAGGGAAAGCTGAGGCAGGATTTTGGGGGCAAAGGGGAAGTATAGAGGCACAAGGATAAATGATCTGTCCGGCAGAGGCCAAGCCCACAGTGGCTGGCATAAGGAATTAGTGGTGGAGGCAACAGCAGCTGGCTCTGGAAATGCAGGTTGAGACTAGATCATAAAGCATCTTGAATACCATGCCAAGGAGTTGGAACTTCACTCTGTATAAAAGGAGGAATTGTGTGGTTTGGAAACAGAGGAAAAGCATCATGAGATAACTCTGGGGCAGCATAAAGAATGGAAGGCAGAAAAAAGAAAAATAAGCCAAGAGTAGTTAACTCTCGTAGCACAATCCCACATTCCACTGCAACTGCCCGGTCCCCTTGTTTTTGATAACGCAAAGGAAAATCACTGTTAGAACAATTACAAGGGTCTGAGTCATTGGCCCCTTCCTCTTCTTACTTTGCCCATTGTCTGTCTATGACCTCATTCACAGTCTTGGCTCCAACCACATCCATGCAGAGACACCTAAATCTCTGTTTCCTTTTTTGTTTGTTTGTTTTTGTTTTTGTTTTGTTACATATCCCCATACAACTGTGGACTGGCTACATCAGAACCACTTGGGGATTTTTTAAAAAAATACAGATCCTTAGACCTCACCTCTGGTCTCCTGAATCTGGATCTTTAGGTGTAGAGGCTGCATTTAACAAGCTCTTTGGATAATTCTGTTGGACAGTCAAGTATGTACCCTGTCTTCCACAGACACCTCTTACTCAGTATGACAAAACTACACTATCCATTTCCCCTTCCCCCACCCCCCAAAATACTTCTCCTCCTAGCAAATAACACTACCATTCTGAGCCCTCCAAGCCAGAAGTCTGAGTATATTCCTTCATTCTGCCCTCTTCCTCATATCTTCCCTTGTCCACATTATATCCAAATGATCGCTGCTCAATTTATCTCAAAAAGAGGCTTTCAATTCACACCCTCCTCTTTATCTCCTTTGTCACTGCCTTAGTTTAGGCTCTTAATTTATTGTTAAGCTATTCTTCCAATTTTGTCCCTTCCAATTAATGATCCAAACTGGGGCTGTCAGGATCTTCCTCGGACCCAAATCTGATCATGTCACTCCTGTGCTTAATTTTTTCAGTGGCTCTCTATCAATTATAGGGTAGAGTCCACATTCCTTACCTTGCACACTGAGCTTTCAAGGTTCAGTCAAGACCCATCTGTCCAGCAGAATCTACCACCACTCTTCCACTTTTCCCTCTGTGTGTGAAACATAACTGCCTAAGTTCCTTGAACAACTCTCCCATCTCCATGCTTGTAAACATGCTGCCTTCTACCTGGAACACCCTTTCCCTTGGTTTGTTCAGTTAGCCAACTTCTACTCAACCTTCAAGACTCAGCCCAAGGACACAGCTCCTTAGAATCCCATCCCTCCAGCCACCACAACTTGCCCCTCTTGCATGTTCACATGGTCCCTTTTACTTGACTCCACTGTAGCTATCACACTGTATTATAATCCTTGTTTCTCTGTAATCTGCCCCACAAGACTGTGAAATTCATTATGAAAGAGAATGTCTTGTTCAGTTCTGTATTTCCAGGATAGTATCTAGTATGTAATGGGTATTCAGCTGATGCTTTCAAATTAATTAGTTTATAAAAGGGGATCTCTATGTTTGTGAGCATCAGAGGCTAGGGAGATGTAAATAGATACGATAATAACAGCTAACATTTTGGGGACACTTGACATGTGCCAGGAACTCCTTTAAGTGCTTCACATTACAGGTATTTTCTAATTTAATCCTCAAGACATTATGAAAGATATACCATTTAAACCCATTTGTAGATGATAAAACTGAAGTATAGAGAGATAAAAAAATTGTCCCAAACTTACAATGCTAGGGAACAGAGCTTGGATTTGAACCAATGTACTTTGGGTCCAGATCCAATGTTCTTTTTTTTTTTTTTTTTAAGATTTTTTTTTTTAATTTAAAAGAGAAAAAGCGAGGGCACAAGCGGGGGGTGGGGGGGGGGTGGCAGACAGAAGGAGAGGGAGAAGCAGGCTCCCAGGGGAGCAGGAAGCCCCAAGCAGAGCTCTCTCCCAGGACCCTGGCATCATGAACTGAGCTGAAGGTAGATGCTCAACTGACTGAGCCATCCAGATGCCCCCCAAATCCAATGTTCTAATCCCTATACTCTATTGCCTGTTGAGAATATATCTAATGTCAATGAAACTGTGTATTTCTATGACTTTCTATGTGTATTTCTATTTATGAAAGAACCTAGGAATATAATCCTGAAAGTATGTAGAATGTGTGTGTGTGTGTGTGTGTATCATGAAACTCAGTTGGGCTCAAAGTGCTGTGCCTAACAATAAGTACTATTAAGTACCTACAATGTATCTAGTAATATTAAATGCTATAGGTTAGAGACATTCAAAATCAGTCATGTGTTATTTCCCCAAAAAAGAGTTATAATTCACTTCAGAAGATAAGACATACACCAATTAGACAATATGACAGAAGAATACTATGAGAAATGAAGATCATGCATATACCAACTACATTTGTGATCAGAAATATTACCAGTTGTAAAGTAATACATGGAATTATTGGGTATGTCTCACAAATCAGAAACTCTAATGTAAAGAAAAATATACCACATTTATCTGGAAGGTTTGTCGGGCTGCAGAGGAAGATGAGGAGTGGGAAGAATGGAGTATCTCATATAAAGCAGATTCATGGCTTTCTATTCCAAGCTATGCAACTGATAACTCCTTTATCATCTTCCCAGGACTGATGAGGCAGAGGCTAGAACTACCGGTGCCCAAGTCAGCCACCATGAAATAAAAGTCCTCAATTAGATTTAACTTCAGAATCAGTCTTAGTCCTTAAGGCAAAATCTAATGCCAAAATTTAGTCTTCTCTACTTGGCATGCCTGAGATTCTTTTCAAATCTTCACTCCACAACAAGGGGTAGAAGGTGAATGCCAGGCTGAGGTAACTCTTTAACTGAAATTCATTTGCGTTTTGTGTATGTGGTCATGTCAGTCAGTATCTGTCCTGGGATCCTGTTCACTTTTTACACAGAAGTTAGAGAGAAGGAGAGTGCCAGGGAAAGATCTAGGCACATCTTCAGGGGGAGAAGGATGGGAGCAGGCATGAAAGGCCAAAGTAAGAAAGGCTAACAATACCTCCTCTGACCTCTGCCCCATTTAGATTCCACCAGAGCATGTGGAGACAAGAACTGGGAAAGCAACTTGGAGGAAGAGTACTATGAAGCTGTGTGAGGGCCCCCAGCCCAGGTTCTCCTGGCTTTCAAAGATTTTTCTTTCTCTTAAGTGGGCCCAAATCTCTTATAAAGGTGTTTCATGCCTGTGGACTCAGGGAATTTGAAATGGAACCAAGACTTAGTATCACCAAACACTCTGTGCATTACCCCACCTGATGATAACTAATGAAAACTGACACGTGCAAATTATCCGGGTGACTTTTTTTCCTTTTGAAAGCTTCCCAAAATGTTTTCATACAGGGATGCAATAGTCTATAACAGCTTCCCAACAGATTTCCCTACAACTCCATGTGGGAATTTCTGACAGGTGACAGTTTGGGTGTTATTCCTTTTCTTCAGTTTTGACAGAAGTCAATTCTCTTTTTATGAACAATCAGTCCATGGAGTTAATAGCCCATATTTATCAAAAACTGCAAGTAAAACTCAAGAATGTTACCAGATGTGCAAATGACACAAATCCAGGACCAATGGTAAATATTTTGGAAAATGGGCGATAATTTAGTTTGATAAATATTCATTGTGTGCCTACCATATGCGGGGCATTTTTCTAGGTAACACAGGGATTGAAACAATGGTCTAGAAACAAGGGATTTAAGTAGAGTGACCAAGAACAGAAAAAGAGACACATATAACTAAAATGTAAGGAAAAGCTCAAGTGCTTTAAGAGAGATAACACTGGTTCAAAGTTAAAGTAGCAATGAGCAAATCCAGTTATGAGGTAGATCAAGAAACATCAAGTTATGGGGAAGGAGTAGTCTAAGAAGTAAATTGGGGGTGATAAATGATCCAATATTCCTTCCTGGGTGGTCCTCGTTGAGATTTCTGTAGCTGCAAGCAGTTTTCACAGTCTGGAGAGTGAGCCAAAGGCTTTGTATCTGGGGCAACAGAGAGGTGAAGTCCAAACCTTTGGTGAGTACCAAGGAGGGAGCCTGAAACATCAAGTCCATTCTGCCCCTGAGCTCGAAGGGGCTGGGGAGCCCAGGCT